TAATAAGAAATATTATGAATAATAAAGATATTGAAATTTAATAAAATACAAATAACAATATCAACAAAAGAAAAGCAAATTTCTACTTTTTATTTAGACTTTTAAAAAATCTAATTCTTGCAAATTAATAAAATTATGGATAAAATTATATCTAAAGTAGAGTATTTAGTATGCTTAGGAAAAAGGAAGAGTATATATTATTAGCTTAACACATTTTTATTTATAATTTGGTACTCATTTTTAGTTTATCTATGCTACAGATTAGGCTATTTTCTAATTTATATTTTCTGTGGCATGTATTATATTGCATTAGTTTATGATAATATTTATTCTTGGAAAAAGATGGGGATGAATCCATAGTTCGCTTAAATAAAACCAAATTATCTATCCTATATAAGGTATATATTTTTATTTAATTTTAAGGAGGCTAGGTTTGCTGATAATATGGAATATTATTAAGTAAAACTTACTTTTATGCTTTCGAATTTTTTATAAAGTACTATAGTATTTTTAATGATATTTTTGTTCTAAGTATTTGCTATCCATTCAGAGAATGAAGATTAAGATTATAATAAAATTGATAAAAGCTTAGCCTATTCGTTTATTATTTTATCTATTGCTTACTATAGTTATCATTCTTATATGCTTATCAATAATATTTCAAATAATTCCAGAATTTCTTTCTCTTAGTTAAGGAATATTATAGCTTTTGGGTATCTATTTTGTACTTTATACACTTAATTTATTGGCCTATAATATATAAAAGGAGATGCATTAATCATAAGCTTCATAATTTTGATATTTTTAATAAACTTTATTGCTTTTTGGATTGCTTATGACAAGCCTCTTGAATTACCTTTAGTAAGTATGAGAATAAAGATATTGATAAAGGCAATATTTATCTTACTTTATTTTAATATGTATTTAGATAATTATATAGTTCCAATATACAATAAAGTTTTAAGTAAATATTACTAGAATGTAAATACCTTACCTTTTAAAGTTTACAGATTACTCAAATTCTTGAGAATATCTGTATATCTTTTATTATCCTATTTATTGTACACTTCAGATTTTGAAAAATACACTTTTTACTGGCCTACCTTGCTCTTTTTTGGCATATATTTTGTTTTTAGCATTTGTTTTATACTCTATGATATTATATCAATAAAATATCCTTCTACAATAAATATTTCTTTCAGATAATATAATACTAATTAAGATATATTAAATGATAATTCTTAGTTTTTAAATCGCTAATTGATAGACAATTAAAATGAAAATAAATTTATCTAATAGATATAAATTCATAATACCAAATAAAACATATTTCATTAATTGAATAAAATTAATTTAGACTCCTAAAACATTGGTCTAAATGAAGAATTAAATAAAGAAATCCTTTTTCTGATTTTTAGTTCAGGATCAAAAATAAATTATCTCTTGGGAATGTAGAATGAATATTGGTTTGCAAAGGATGAAGATAATGTTGTTTTTTTCATCAACCTTAGAAACATAGAATCAATTATAAGTATATTAAAATAAGGGATAATCTCTCAAAATCTAAATATCTTGATACAAATGATGGAAGAAATAAATGAAATAATACAATAATAGTTAATTTTAGCTTTGCAAATTAATATATTTTATTTAAGAATATATGCTCCAGATACTAACTTTTTTTCAGGATAGTTTACCAATTACATCAAAACCATCAAACATCATTAAGAAAACCATTTAGTACAAATTATAAGTTTTTACAAATTAATTTCAAATTATTAATATATTAACCCAAATTAAATATTATATGATTTGCATGAACTTTGAAAAGCTGCAATATAATTAAATATATTTTTCATTTTGTATGCATTTATGTAAATGTTTTTTTTATTTATCTTAATTAATGATAAAATTTTTTTTTTAATTATTAATTTTATTTTAATAAAATTGTAAGTATCTTATGTATTGAGGAGTAATTTCGAGATAATTTATTTATTATATAATAAAAAGATAAAAAGTAAGAAGTAGGATATAATAGATAGGGGAAATATCACCTGTCCTACTAAAATAATTACTTAATTTTTTAATAAGGTGAGTTTTTTTACAAAAAATTATTTAAAATACCCACCCACCTTAATCAACAGTTTGGATGGTAGTTGAATAAATCATAAATTCAGTTCTGAAAAATCAATGAAAAAAATAAACTAAATAAAACAAAAGATATTATTTTTAATTTATTTTATCAAAGAAAAATTTTAATTTTATAATTGGAGTAAAGGATAGTTTTTGGTTTGCTAAAGATGGAAACATTATCTTTATTTATTTCAAATTTAGAATCAATAATAAATGTGTTTTGAAAAATAAGGATTAGTTGATTAGTATGTTTTATTATATTTTAACTTTTTTATGTAATTTTTTAAAAAAATTTTTAAATATGTAATTAATATTAATTTATTTACTCGTATTATTTTAAAAGATACCTTTCTAATTCGTGTTAATGAAATACTTAAATAATTTTTATTATCTAATCTCTCAAATAATTCTAAAATTTATACGAGAAATAAGAGGATTATACTAATATTATAGACTATTCTTTTAAAAGGATTGAAAAAAATGAATAAAAACATAATTCTTGTAAATTGTAATCAAAAAGATTTTTTAATATCTCAATATCTTTTAAACATCATTAAATATTAAATTCAATAAAAAAATTTAGTTATTCAATATTTAGAACTTAAATGAAGAAGAAAAAATAACTATTATTTTAATTTGATATATAATAAAATTTCTTTTAATAAACAACTTTGTGTATATATAAATAAGAAATAAATATCATGTATATAAAGATTTTTAAATTTAATTAAATACAAATAGCAATATAAGCAAAAGAAAAGCAGATTTCTACTTTTTAATTAGAGTTCAAAATAATCTAATTCTTGCAAATTAATAAAATTATGGATAAAATTATATCTAAAGTAGAGTACTTGGTATGCTCAGGAAAAAGGAAGGGCATATATTTTTAACTTAACACCTTATTATTTATAATTTGGTACTTAGTTTTAGTTTATCTATGCTACAGAGTTGGCACATTAATGTTTTTTCTTATTTGTGGCTCGAATTAAATTGCTTTATTTTGTGTCAATATTATTTTTTGGAAGAAGATAGGGATGATTTAATAGTTCGCTTAATTAAAACCTAGTTATTTATCGTATATAAGGTATATATTTTTATTTAACTTTAAGGAGGCTAGGTTTGC